AACCATCAGTACAGAAGGTGGTCCCTAACCCTACAGCCTGAGCTCACTCACGGTGCACATGTAAACCATCAGTACAGAAGGTGGTCTCTAATTTTACAGCCTGAGCTCACTCACGGTGCACATGTAAACCATCAGTACCTCAGGTGGTCCCTAACCCTACAGCTTGAACTCACTCACTGTACATACATAAATTACCACTTTTTGATAAACCATTAGGATTGTCTATCTTCCCTGAAAACTATTAGAATTCTCTGCCACCACAGAAATGCCTAAATTTCTGTCTATGTTGGATTAAAGACATCCCACCAATGGAAACCAGATGTATCAGTTCCTTAAACTTCATAGTCCAGGGTAATAATAATTCTACCGTGTTACATGTGCCCTGAGTTCTGTTGAGCAAATTCAAAGGTTTCAGGTAAGAAGCGCTCAATCTTGTTCCCTGATGACGTTCAGTGAACATTCTGTGAAAATAATGATCTCCACCTATGTCACTTTTATTTTTCTCCATAATCATTCTCTTTCTGTGACTAACACGCCTATTTGTTTCTTGTCTGATCCTCCTTCAGAATGTAGATACCACGAGAACAGGTGCTAGCTCCGGCACATGCTGGGCTTCCATATGCCTGAACAACCCTATGACTGCAGGGACATGATGTAAACGTTTTTATGGTTCCCGCCACTGCGCACAAGTCAACATACCTGCTATGATGTTGTCCAGCAGTGTGATGGGCATGCAGAATATGCCAACTAGGAGATCACTTATGGCCAGGTTTAAAATGAAGAGATTGGTGACTGTGTGCATGTGTTTGTTCCTCATCACAATAAAGCAAACCACGGTATTTCCCACTATGCACAAGAAGAAGATGAGAAAGTATGAGCTGATGAAGATTGCTGCCACGGGAGGCTGGTGAAGGTAATAGTTCACGTAGGTGATATTGATGTCCGAGGACAGAGGGTGCGAGGTGTCATTGACACGCCAGGGGGGAAGCCAGTTTTCTGAAGAGTTTGATTCCCATTTCTCATTCATGATGGACCTTCACAAAGGAGAAGAGAAGCATAATTAGAAACCAGTGGAAGGTCAGTTCTGCATTTAAGAGTTTAAGAGGGGACACTTAAAAATGTCATGGAATTTTAATGGACCTCCTGTAGTCATCCATAAGTCTTGCAGGGAACAGAGTTATAAATAAAATACTCAAATGCCTCTTTGTGTGATGAGTAACAGTCATTATCACGCTTTATTTTCTAATGCATTCCATATTTCACTTCTTTGGATATACACATTATCTTTGGCAACATTGCCCTTACCCTCCAAAACTCTTCTGATTTCTTTCAGGCGTCATAATCTGCCAAGACTAGGGTGACCAGACATCCTGATTTTGGTGGGACAGTTCCGCTTTTCAACAATTTGTCCCGTGTCCTGCGGCGCTTTAAAAAAGTCCCGATTTTTGGAAAGAATGCACGAACCGGCTGGAGAACAAAAAGGGAATATACGGTTTTCAGCTGCCATATGACTATTTCGCCAGAATATGAGTTTTATATTATTTTTGTTAATTTTATAATGTTAAACTGTAATAAATAATTGCTGAGAAGTGATTATCGAGAACTGCTTATCAAAGTTTGCATTGTTGTCAGGCCCTGCCTGCCGGGTCCCCTGCCCCGTGCCCCCGCTCTGCCCCCACTCCGCACCCGACCATGTTGTCCCACCTTACAGATGTTAAAATCTAGTCAACCTAGCCAAGACACACTTATTATTTTAAGGCTAATATATATACCCCTGTCTTTCCTGATAATCCGAGCAAGATGAGGTATCCATGTCCTCAAAACTGCCATAGAAATGAGCTTCTTGGTTTGCCTTGCTGTGCTTCAGCTCAGTTAACCGAATATTCTTTCCACACTCGTCTGAATGCAGACAGTAACCACCACACTAGGATGATTCTATTCACAGAATGTATATCAATAAATTATTCAGGCTGGGCATCTTATGGTGACATCTCAATCAATTCTTGTGTCAGAGAGAGGTCCCCACAGCTACTCCCAGGTTTGGTAAACCACTAGACAGGCTGAGTGGGCCCAGAGTACAGGGTGTTCACAGGCTGCAGTCACCACACAAAGAATACAGAGCAGAGTCAGCCATGGGAAAGGCACAGGGAGTGAGTCTGCAGGCACAGCCCTCTCAGTGGAGTCACACGGGACATGGGTCATTCTTTCAGCAACAATTTATGACAACACGTAGAACGTATTGTCTACCAAGTGGTGTTCACTGGACACTTAGCATATAGGGTTTTTATTAGAGATGTTCAAATGAGGAGCTTTTTCCTAGTATATATCAAAATTCCAGACTCCCATTAGAAAATAGGTGTTCAGCATAAAACATGTTGTTTGTACAAACAGTCTAGGGATAGCAGTCACTCTTAACGGATATATCAGCATAGGAAACTATTTAAAGAGATGAATATATCAGCATAGGAAACTGTTTACCATTTAAGTTCCAAGACTCCAACCAAGGACACCTGGGAGCAGGCTTTATAAGGGCAGCAGTCCTGGACCCTCTCCTTACTCTTTCTGCACACCTACTTAACTAGCCAGACAGAAGGTTATATGTGTCCAGGAATGAAAGTAAATTTGACAACAGGCTAATCCAATTGACCTCCCCACACTGTTAATATGTTCCAGAAAAGAATTAAAAATGAGTGCTTAAGTTAGTGGGCAAAACTGTGATAAGATAGTTACACAGGATGAAATTACCCACAATACACGCATTAATTTCAAAGCAAAAATTATAACTTTTCAGTGCAGAAACCTGTCAAATACTACCTTGGTTAAGTAATCAAAGTTGAAATGCTGAATTATGGGACAAAAGCATATTGTATACTCTTTGATGTGATACATGAGAACTAACATCACGTCAGCAATATTCATTTATTTCAGGCAAAAGATTTTTTTTTTTTTAATTTCAGGCTAATGTGAGGGTACAAACAACCAGGTCACAATATTTGAATTTGTTAGGTAGAGTCCATCTTATAGTTGTGTCCTATACTTAAAAGGTGTGCCTTATATCCCTACATTGTGTCTCTTAAGTGGGAACACACCAATCCCTCCTCCTCCCTTCATCCTCTTCCCCTCCGATGAACTGAATTGAATTGAGTTTTTCTCTTACATAGGCAAGTATTAGATTGTCTACTGGCTTCATGTTACTACTGAGCACATTGGATATTTAATTTTCCATTCTTGTGACACTTTACTAAGAAGAATGTACTTCAACTCCATCCATGTTAATATAAAAGATGTAAAGTCACCATCTTTTTCGTGGCTGAATAGTATTCCATGGTATACATATACCACAATTTGTTAATCCATTCCTGGGTTGGTGGGCATTTAGGTTGTTTCTACATCTTGGTGATTAT